CAGCGGGGACCAAACCCCATGGGGAGCCCCGGCACAGCCTGCCCCGCTCACCTCCATGAATTCCGAGCTGGAGCGCACGTGCTGGCGGAAACACAGCAGGAAATTCTCCTCCGTGGGCAGGATCTGGGCCAGCTACGGGGAACACGAGCATCACGGGGGAACACGAGCATCAGTGGGGAGGACCGCGAGCATCCCGGGGGAAGGACCACCAGCATCCCGGGGATCCACAGCACCAGCACCACTCACCTCTGCCATCTCGATTTTGCCGTCCGCATTTTTGTCATACTTGTGCATGAACTCCTTCATCTTGTCACCCAAGTTGTCGTTCTTTGAGTCCTGCCGACAAGGAGAGGGGATGGGAGCGTTTACTCCTCTCCCTGTGCTGGTGTTAGCGTTTACTCCTCTCCCCGTGCTGGTGTTCCCCCCTTTTCCCTCCCAGAGCTGCCCCCCCCCCAATCCCGCTCCTCAGTGCCATTCCCAAAGGAGACGGGGCTGACATGAGCCTGAACCTTCGAGCAGGAGGGACCGGAGGAAGGAGAGAGCAAAACCAGGCGAAGCCCTTACCACACCCGCCCCCTTCCTTGCGCTTTCCAGCTCCTGGAAGAAGTTTTCCAGCTCTTTGCCTTCGATGTAGCCATTTCCTGGGGAAGGGAAAAAAAAAAAATGCAGTAAGATGCCTCATGGTGTCAGAGGGCAGGAGGCGAGGGAGGGATGCTCCCGGGGGGACGCAGCGCTTGTCCCCCTCCGCACGGGGACACAGCTCTGAGGTGACTGTGGCAGCCAAGAAACGCCAGCTGATGCCGAGTGTTATGCAAACCCGGTGATGACCGAATTCGTAATGAGCTTGGGGGGGTGGGGGACACAACATAGCCCTGGACTTGTCCCCTGCACCCGCTTGTAGGGTCCAGGGGACTTTGTCCCCATCCCCATCCAGATGTTTGCTGCATTTTCTGCATCTTATGCTTTAACCGGGTGGTTTGGGCACAGCTGGGGGGCACTACCCTTTCCTCCAAAGCGCCTGACCGAGGGGTAGCCAGGGCTCTTCCTTGTGGGCATCCCCCCCAAAATCCCTCTCCAGTTCAGCCTCCAGAGGTGTGGACCGCAGTGCCCTGCTCTTCAGCATCATCATCTGTGGGCTCCCCAGCAGCATCTTCTCCCCAGCTGGGAATAACTCGTCCGCATCCCGGCTGGAAGTGCCTGGGGAAGTCCCAGAGCACCTTCCTCTTTGACGGCCACGTCCCGACGGATGAGCAGTGTTCCCTCCCAGGAGGGGACGAGGGGCTCAGCAAGTTGGGGTGCTGGTGTGAGCTGCTGAGGGGCTTGGCTTTCCACTGCCCTTCCCAGGCGTTTCGCTTTTGTGGGGACTGGAGACCCCCAAGCTCCTTTGAATTCAGTTGGGAAAAAAAATCAGCAAGAGTTTTGAGCTGGGAAAAAGAATAACGCCAAGAAAAAGCCATGGCCGGTAGCTTGGTTTCCCCCAAGCAGCAGCTTGGACAGATCTGATCCATGTCCACAGAGCGGTGGGCTGCGGAGCGGCACGGAAAATCCCCTCCGGAGAGCCACAGCTGGTCCACGCGGCTGCACCCCTGCGCCACGGAGCCACGGGACTGCCGTGGCTGGCAAAGCGAGGACACCAAGACACCCAAGGGGAGATCTCTGGGGCATGAGGAGCCTTGAGGGGAAGCGGGTGAAAGCCCCATTGGAGGGGTTTAAGCGCAGGGAAGAGCTTGGGCGAGACAGCCCCGTCCGCAGGGGGATGAACCCCAGGTCTCCATCACCCCGTGCCCATCAGCAGATGGAAATGGCTGGGGCTGGTGGAGCTCCCGCCCGGTGTGGCCGAGTGTCGTCCTCGTCAAGGCCACCGTCTCCCCCGATGCCCGAGTCTCTCCTCTCCCGGGCACCCGCTGTGCCGCAGCCCAACAGCCTTCCCCTGCCCGGGGGCCGTGGGCAAACCAGATCCGTGCCTGCCTCTGTGTTTTAAAGATGACGGAGCACATCCAAGGGCACAGCGGGATGTGCTGCAAGGTGGCAGCTGGACACCCGCACCAGGAGCTGCCCACTCCCACCGGGATGTGACCTTCTCCAACCCCTCGGCTGCTCCAGCACCAGCTCCAGCGGTGACAGGGACAACCGTGCCCGTGTCCCCCAGCGCTGCGGGGCTGCAGGAGGGGCCCCGACGGCGCGGGCAGGAGGGCACCCAGCGCAAGCTGAGCTCCAGCAGCGCAGCTGGGGATCCTGCGTGACGCAGTTCCCAGGAGGGTTTTGGTCCCCAAATCGCTCCCCTCCAGGGACGGGAGACCCGGGGAAGGACAAGAGCTTTCCCCTGGGCTGCTCTTCCCAGCCAGCTGAGCCTCCTTTGCTGCACCACGGTGCTGAAACAAACTGTTTTCCCACCCAAATGATGCTGCTTTTTGCATTTCTCCCCCTTTTTTAGGGGGCTGGCAGCGATGGGGATC